ATTAGGAAATAAAAAAGCAAAGTCAATGTTGCCCATAGCCCTATCAAGTTTCTATTGGATCTTTTGACCATTTGGATTAGTCCCAAACCAAGTAAAAAATGGGCCTGAAGAAACAATATCCACTAGCCCAGCTTCAGAAACTGCTTCTTTGAACCCACCCATTTAAAAGAAAATTAGGCCTAGGAGGCCCCCCCAATTTCTCACAACCCAACATAGTATCGTTGAAATCCCCCGAAATAAGCCACGGAAGGGACGAACGGATTGCCAAAGAGCGTAAGAGATCCCAAGAAGCCCTCCTTCTATTAGATTCGGGAAAGCCATAAAACCCAGTGTACCTCCAAAAAGTTCCATTATCATTTATTTTGCAATCGACAAAATTATTAGAAAATGACAATAAGGTTAAGTCCACATGGGACTTCCAATACAAACAAAGCCCACCACCTAACCCCACTCTATCCACACAAAAACAATTATCAAAAGAGATAAGCACTCTAACTTCCTCTAACCGACTAGCATGCATACGGGTTTCCAATAAAAAGACAATGTCAGGTTTATAATTAGTAACCAGATCATTCAGCACTCTAACTGCCTGAGGGTTGCCAATGCCTCGGCAGTTCCAACTTATTATCCTCATTGCTTCCGGCTATCCCGCTTCACGGGATCAGCCGATATCTTAGAAGCTGGAGCATTGCTGCCAACTTGATTTCCACCTAATAAATCGTTTGTCAAAGAAATATTAGCTGGTGGTGATTTATTTTTATCATTTTTATCACTTCTGGGCCTCTTCTTTGGATCACCATGTATAATAGGCCCACTATCATCCTCAAGCCCATCGATACTCATTCTTCCCATCGATTCAGTCTCAATCAATCTGAAATCATCACCTTCACCATTCAAATTCGAATTATTTCCAAAAAGTGAATTGCGATAAATCTGGGAATATAACGAACGAGAATCATCCCTTGCCGTAACTCCTGCCTTCAAACCCGCCGCGTTCCATGGCCTAATTTGAGGCTTACCATTTTCACACAGCCATTGACTAGGAGCTCGACGATTCCGGCGAGGGAAAGCCCGGAGCCATTCATCCCAACCAAAAATCAGTTCATCCGATTTCTTCCTCAAACGGATTTCACAGTACGAATCTGTGTGGCCAAGCAATCCACATAGATAGCAAAAGACAAAAATTCTTTCATACGAAAACCAGACATAAAAAGCTTCCCTTTTTACATCTAAAAGCTTCTTCTTTCTTCGTAACGGTTGACGAATGTCCAGAGTAGTTCTGATTCGCATGGAATAATCTTCCAGTTCGGCAGATTCAGTCAAGTATTTTGCATCATTGCTCACAAATTTGCCAACAAAATCTCCTAACGATTTCGCAACCTCTTCACGCATAAACCCAGGCTTCAAATTATTCACAATCACCCAAACATCAGCTGTAATCAAAGGAATCCTCAAAGGGTCTTCATCTGGTTTAATCTTACTCCGCACCAAGAGGTTTTTATTGAACAACCACGGAGCACCATCAACGGTACGATCCATATCCACCTGATTATAGAACCGAAAAAGAAATCTTTTTGCTCCAATATCAATAATCGTAATGCCCCCAAGAGGATGCCACAGATCTACTAACACAGATTTCATCGAGATAAAATTAATCGGGCTGTATGTAAGAAACATCCCGACGAGACAGAATTCAAAACCTTGATCAGCGATGACCGGAGCAATGTTGAAGGAAAGACCCTCCTCTTCCTTGTCATCGAGGGATCGATTATGAATATCTTGATCTATCGCAGATAAAGTTGTAATTATATCTATAGGCAAGGGATTAAATAATTATTTCTCTTAGTTAATATAATAAACTTGATTGGATTAGAGTGATGAGTGATAACTTCAATTAGCAATTAAAAAAACCCATTTCTACAAGCTTTTTGTACGATTTAATTAACTTGCTTCTAAAGCACTCATGTCCCACCTACCTATTAAGCTTAGCAAGCAACAAAGTACTCGTGTCCAAATCTAGGGTGTGGTTCAGTTGATAATGAATACTAAGTAAGGGGAAAGAATTTTTGAATTCGATCCAATTAAATGCAACTATAAACAAAGTAAAGAGTTTTAACTGATTAAATCTCAAACTGAATTAAATAGTCTCTCCTAATAAGATTCGGACACCGATAATTTATATCGAAAAAGTACTCGTGTTCATATTGATAAAAATAATATATAAAGTAAAGAGTTTTTAACTTGATTAAATTCTTTCAAAACTGAATTAAATAGTCCTCTCCCTAATTAAGATTCGACACCGGATAAGTATCCTATATCCCGGAAAAAGAGTATACCTCAAGTTTTCATATTTGGAATAAAGAATAAATTACTATTATAGTATATAAAATAATATATTTATATAATAATATATTAGTTTAACAATGTATTCATAGCATCCTCTTACTATGTATATAGTTAAACATGTTTGTGATGGACAATAAAAAGTGGCTAAAAGCATTTTTGAGAAGCTCAACTTTCATAATTATTTCTATTAAACTATTATTTTCTTTTGAATAAATATATTTTTGTATAAGATGGAATTTATGACCGATAAACCCATCAAAGGAGACACAAATATAATGGGAGTGGAGGGACCTGGTTTAGTTGAGATTCGAAAAACATTGTCCAACTTCTCCACAACCAAATGCCAGCTGCTGAAATTACACATCTTTTAACGTTTGACATGAACAATATATTAAGTACATTTGTCTAAAGAAAAGGTCCTTCAGATGCCCTTTCCACCTCACTATCGGGCATAGTTGCTTTCATTCTTTGATTTTTAAATTTTATGGATGCCAATGGAGATGTCGAGATGTGATGGTGATGGTCATTTTCAGCACAGCAGAGTTGATTGTGAAGGTGGCGCTGTTTGTGATGATTATGGTGGAAGCATTAACGGTGGCGGTGGTGGTGCCATAGGGAGAGGTTAGATCAAGGGATGCAAAACGTTAGGCTTGAGGCTTGTTTGGCAATAATATTTTATCTAGCTTTTTTGTCCCCTAACGGTTTAATAGAAAAGAGAAGTCGTGCGACGGACTAGGATGCAAAGCAAAGGAATAACTGGGGATTAATAATGAAATTAATAATAAATTGAAGGACTAAAACAGATGTTTCTAGACCAACACCCAACCCAATGAATCCAGCAGGATCGATTATATTGACTTTTGTCTATGACAAGACATGTGAAGTCACGTGTAATATATATGCACCGGCACCGCTTTTATTTTATATTCTAGGCTTAGGTAGAAGTAGAACTGGAAAACGATCTGTGAGTTGTTCAAATCGATTGATATTCACTTGTTAAATTAAATAAAATTTAATATAAATTAACAATTTATATTCTTAAATTCAGAAATTTGTAAACAAAAATATATTAATATTATATAAATAATAATTTCTAAATTTTACGATATTTATCATAAAAATAAAATTAATTAAACCTAAAATGAAAATTTTAATATATAAAATAGCTATTAGCAAACTCCAGAGAAATGTATCAGGGATGGCTCTAGCTTCTAACCCAAAATTTTTTTACAATTTTATTCTATAAAATATAGAATATTTTCAATTTTACTTTAAAACAGTAAATTTTTTAATTTTGTCTTGCTAGATTTGAAAATTTTTCATCCCTAACTGTATTTTCTTCTCTCATTGGCTATATAGATATATATAATATTGAGATGATATATTATTAGTTGATTGAAAAGATAATATTAAATTTATAATTTTAGTTTGATGAGGCTTTTGGTTCATGAATAAATCAGAATTTGTTCGAATTAATCAAATTAAACGTAATAAATTATGAGCTTAATATGAAAATCAAACTTAATTTAAATTTGAATTATATGTTATTGAAGACTTAATAATATTGCATAATTAATCTTAGATACTTCGATATTCAAATAGGTTCGAGTTCATAATTTCTTAATTATTGTTTAAATTTCAAAAAATACGAATATAACACAGAAAATTAATGAATTATTACATGGACATATATTATTTTTCTTTTATCACAAAATTATAATTGAATAATTTAATAAAAATATTAACATTTTATGTTTATGTTAGTTTTGAAATTTAATAATTATATGATTTTGTTGTAATTATAATATTTAATTATAAATTTATATATTTAGGATATTTGAAAGTATTTTAATTAATCTTCAATTTATATAAAATTTACCATGAAAAATCACACCTATTTGAAAGTATTTTTGAAATTAATCCTTGCAAAATAAATGATAGAAATTTTAACTCGATGAAACAATGCACACACACATCTGATGTAGAGCACACATATGATATTTAGTATATAGATTATATATATATATTATTATATAATTAGTATATAATAAAATAAAATAAAATACCGAGAATATGAAATGTAAAATGTACTCAAAAATTAAAAATAAAATTCAATCTCTTTATATATAATAAAATAAATAAAATACCGAGAATATGAATTAAAAATACCAAATTAAAATAAAATCAATCTCTTTAAAAATAAAATACAAATTTAATTCTCATAACATGCATAAAAAGTTTTAACTTTTACCTCCTCAATTACATCTCTTAATTCTACTTAAAAAATAAATAAATAAACATTTCGCTGTGCCTAGTAGGCAGCTGCTGCTGGCTAGCACCACATGCTCTAACTATATAGGCATGTGGAGTTCAATGGCGAAACTCACCAAAGCAAATTGATAAATTAAACAAATGAAAGTCTAAAAACCATGAAATTGCAGCTACCTAAGCTTCGTTTCCAAGTATCAAATAAATAAACAAAAGAGACCTCGTTTACCGGTTAATAGAAATATATACGATCGATACAGAGATTACAGAGAGTGAGCAGTGAATATCTAGATAGATAAAACTATACAGCCAATTAATTATTGAAGACACAGTCGTTTGGTCAGATTTTGGTCTGCTGCCCATAAGTGATGTCTCAGTGATCAGTCATAGCTGGCGTTCACATTTAATTGAACCAACCCCACGCTCTCTTCTTCTAAAATATATCCATCTATTATTCTATTCTTTTTTCTTCTTCAAACTTATCTATTTATACGCTTTTCTTGCTTTGCTTCTACTTGAACCGGCACTTTCTAGTTTCAACTCCTTGCTTCTCATCATCCACAATGGCTTCCAAAAGTGTGTTCTTTCTGGCGGCTGCTTTTCTCTCTGTTACTTCTTCAATGGTATGGCTGTGTCCTTATCAATGTTACTGCTTTTCTCTCTGTCATTGCATTTGTGTTAATGGGTTTCTAAATTTTTCTTTTTGGTTTTCTTTACATTGTAGGCTTCATACCCTAGTGTTGATGAGTTCAAGGAAGAGGTTATTTTTTTTATTATTTAATGCACTGTTCTTGCAACTTATTTTTCTGGTTAATATACTGTGATTTGTGAATGGCAGTTCATTTCAAGCTTCTAAATGTGTTTTTGATCTCTAAATAAGACTGCATTTTAATATTGATTACAGGCTTTTTATTCCAGAGTAGTAGTAGCTCCAACACCAGCCCCTGCACCACCAGTGGTCAAGCCACCCATCACTAATCCACCAGTAGTGAAACCTAGTCCGCCGGTAGTCAAGCCACCAGTTTATTCTCCACCAGTGGTCAAGCCACCCATCACTAATCCACCAGTGGTGAAACCTAGTCCCCCGGTAGTCAAGCCACCAGTTTCTTCTCCACCAGTGGTCAAGCCACCAACTCCTACCACACCGGTCGTCAAGCCACCAGTTTCTTCTCCACCAGTGGTCAAGCCACCAACTCCTACCTATGTGGTGTGTCCACCAGTGGTGAAACCTTAGTCCCACCGGTAAAGTCAAGCCACCAGTTTCCTTCTCCACCAGTGGTCAAGCGCACCACTCCTACCGACACCGGTCTGTCAAGGCCAGCCAGTTTTCTTCTTTCCCCGCCTTCCCCTCACTCATGTGGTCAATGGCCACCAAGCTCCTACCGCCACCAGTTCTGTGCAAGCCACCAGTTGCTAACCCCGCTTATGTATGGGCCGGCAGTGACGCAAACCCCCGGCACTCCTTGTCAAGCCACCAGTTTCTTCTCCACCAGTGGTCAAGCCACCAACTCCTACCACACCGGTCGTCAAGCCACCAGTTTCTTCTCCACCAGTGGTCAAGCCACCAACTCCTACCACACCGGTCGTCAAGCCACCAGTTTCTTCTCCACCAGTGGTCAAGCCACCAACTCCTACCCCACCAGTCGTCAAGCCACCAGTTGCTACCCCGCCAGTGACCAAACCCCCCACTCCTTCACCACCACTAACCAAGCCACCAAGTAGTCCTGCACCAGTAACCAAACCACCCACCACTCCAACACCACCAGCATATAAGCCACCAGTGACGCCACCATCTGGTTCACCAATGCCCCCTCCGGTTAGAACAAGAGCAGGTAACGCATAGAAATTGAAGCTTAAATGTTATATTTGGTACACATCATGAAAAAGTTTGAATTTTTCTTATTTTATACATTGCGAGTGAAAATGGGTGTTGAAGATTAATTCTGTTGGTTGCAGATTGCCTCCCACTATGTGCAGAAAGATGCAAATTACATTCAAGAAAAAACATCTGTGAAAGAGCTTGCATGACATGCTGTGACAGGTGCAAATGTGTGCCCCCAGGAACTTACGGTAACAGAGAAAAATGTGGCAAGTGCTACACTAACATGACTACTCGTGGCAACAAACCCAAGTGCCCTTGAAATTTCAAGAAACTAAAACTACTTCTCTCTTCATATATATTATAGTTATAGATAAATGAAATATATCTTTCTAATTGTTATTTAAGTTTCAAGTCTCTAATGGAGAAAAAGAAATAAATGTTCTTGTTTCTGTTTCTGGCGTTAGATGCAGGTAGTATATATTAATTGAGCAATCAGTGTTATAAATATTGTACTGAGGCAAGTCTGTGCTTAGGTAGCTGTTTCCTTGAGTTTTAAATGCTGATTGCAGATATTAATATATGTTGTTGTTTCAGTAATATATAAACGGTCAGGTTTAAAATTGCATATAAAGTATTATAAGATTTCGAGTTTAAACCATTTCCACTGTAACTAAACTACCAGAAGAAAACAAGAAAAGAAATCATAGATCAAAATAATATAGATCGAGCTGCAAGTGAAGCATAGATCAATGATTTTTCAAATATGTTAAAGTTTTAAACTCTTCAAATCTTTTCATTATTGATATGAAATTAACTTTGATATTCTATTAGTATAAATTGATGCTCAAAGATTAGCAATAATAACTATGCTTCTATTATATCTTCCACTAGCCAAAATGCTTGGTTAAAAACCACTTTGTCATCTGCGTATTTATTTCCTCTGCAATTACCACCAGCAAGACACTGCTAGCCCAGCAATTAATTATTTTTTCATTTCGCCATAGGGCTTAGCACAGTTAAGCTTTTGGAGAAACCTGGTGTGGTTAGGGGCTCTGTATGAGTTGAATTGTTTAATAAATAAAATTAAATCCAAAACTAAAGATTCATTTTACTTCTACTCGACTTATATATTCAATCGGAAATCAATATGAAATGGAAATGGATAACCAATCAAATAAAATAAGGATAATATTGAAAAAATATTATTTATTATTTTTTAGAATATTCAAAACGATTTATACGTTGGAATAAAATAAACACTTTAAAAAGGAAATATATGAATGCATCTTTTATGAAATTTCTTTTGTTTTTTCCTTAGGCTCGTATTATATCATAAACCACTATCCAAAAGGTCGAAAGCATATTGATAGGTTTCATCATCCAAGAAAGTTATGTGCTTATACACGTTCCACCTCTTAAATTCCTATATAAAGAGGAAATTAGAAACACAAAGTGGGAACTCCTGGCTTAGCTCCAGCACCTGCTACTAATGCAAGCTCCCTTGCTTTTTTGCCATTTATGGTGATTGGATTTGTGGGTTTTGCTGTTTTATTTTTGGTGCTTAAATTGGTGAACTAATTTCTGCGTTGTTTTTTTTGATAATTAATGAGTTCATGTGTTTGTTAGATTGTTTAATTATGTTATATTAATAAAATTGTTCTGCCAGTTTGTGATTGTTTAATTATATTGAGGAAGAAATTTTATGTTGTACACTTCTAAATAGTCTCACTTTAATTTTATTAAAAATTATTATTATTATTATTAAAGGTCCTCAAGAATATACCATTAAGAGATATCTGATTCAAATTTCACGGCGGTTGGAGAAGGTTTATAAGGTAAATTGGAGAAAGTTTATAAGGTAAATGAGCGATCTTTCGTTATAATGTTTTCTGTTGTGTAGCTCATTTAAATTTCGATAAAAAAATATTTCTTAAACTTGAAAAATGGCCTGTTTAAAACTAAATGATATAATAATAGAAAGCAATGTCAGACTACCAAAGTGATAAACATAAAAATGCTGGGCTAATGGGCTTGATGTGGATTTATTCATTTTTTTATTTACCAAACGTTTGATTTTTGCAGTTAGACCATAGAAATGATATTTTCATCATTTACAAAAAAAATAGGAAGAATATATTTTTGTTATAGAATAAAAAATACAATATATAAAAGTTAACATAGAAGCTTGTTTTTTACTCGACAGATAAATATTTTTTTTCCAAAATCATTTCTAAATATAAGATTTTAATTTCTTATATTTATATTTCTTAGTGCTATGAAAATATTATGATATACTCATATTACATTTTTTATTAATGAATTATCAATTTTCTTTAAAGAAAAGGTTAGCTTATGAGTTGTTCTGAATAAATCATAGTCATATTATATTTTTCATTATTGAATTATCAATTTTTTCTAAAGAAAGGTTAGCTTATGAGTTTTTAGTAGATGTATTTGATTATTCAAATCATTGTTTGGAATATTTAACGAAGCAAATTTTCAAATTTGTCATTGATGTTATATTCACAATACTGAAATGTGTGGTTTCAAACTTGTTAACTTAAACATTACATTTAACTTCAATTAGCTAAATTAGAATCTAACCCTACATTACGAGGAAAAGGGGCCAAAAGAAAGCGAAATGGATTGCATCTTCACATGAATTTGTTGTATAAAAATTAAGGATTTAAAATTTGAAATTTAAAATCGTCGCTGTCGAAAGTGTTTTATTTGTCATCTCTGATGTGAGTGCAAAAACACATAAATAAATAGGGTTTTGCTAAATGACACAAGTTATGTGTAATATAATCATTCATATTTACAATTACACGTGTGGCATCAACAATATATCTAAAATGTTAAAATTTTTTTTTTAAGGATATTACAATCTTTCGAACCAAATATTAGAAATTGAAATAATTTAATACCTTTGTTTGCTCATAATAAAAAATAAAAAAGAAAAAAGAAAATAGGAGTTAAGCGACTTTGAGATCTATGATGCCGAGATATGCAAAAGCCAAGGCCCATAAAATAAGATCCATCTTCGGTATATCAAGCCCAATGCTCTACCAGAGTCCCGAGATCTAGTTTTGATTTTTCAAGATCCAAGTTCAGTTTTGATCTTTCTCGCATTCAACCAACTACTACTTTGCTGCAAGAAAATTAAGAACAGAAAACATAAAACAGAAGCAAGCATAAGCTAAGGAAAAGCGAAATGGTTAGTAGTGATGGGATCTTGGGGATCAAAGAAGGAGAAAGAATAAAAGCAGAAACTCTTAAAAGAAAGAAACGGCTAAAGAGACGAGAGAGATGGTTGGTAATACTTGGCGTGATCCTTCACGCAATTTATATGCTAAGCATTTTCGATATCTACTTCAAAACCCCAATTGTCCATGGCATGGATCCTGTCGAACCTCGCTTCAAGGCTCCAGCGAAACGTCTCGTGCTTCTAGTAGGTAGGATCTGCTATTAAGTACTATCTGTTTGATTATATGTTTAAATGAATGAAGATGTGAGTTTATTTTTCATGTTTTTTCCATCAATTTCAGTTCTTAAGAAAATTTGGGTTTGAAATTTGCTAATTGTGCGAAATGGGGTTTGCCCATTTGATATCCACTTTAATTATTTACTATAAAACATAAATATAAGGAGGAGAACATAATATTGGCGAGATGGGATTGTTTAATTAAGTTATACCTTTAGTTAACTTGATCTTAAATGTGAGTAACTGAGAAAAGCGCATGATCTTCTTGAACTTTAGTTCATAGTTTGGCATGTTAGATTGCTTATTGCTTATTGAAGCATAATTTATTTATTACGAAGAACAGGGAATGCTAATAAAATAAAAACGGTTGCTGGCCCTACTGGTTGTAATTTTTATTTTTTAAGTATTTAATTTTCAAAATTTACTCAGAAACTTCAGTTCTTAGACTGCTACAACTTTTTTTTTCTCTCTCTTTTTTTTTTTTTTTTTTTTTTTCATTAGTTCATTAGTTTGGCATGTTTAGATTGCTTATTTGCATTATTGAAGGCATAATTATTTATTACGAAGACACGGGAATGCCTAAAATAAATAAAAACGGTTTGCTGGCCCTACTGGTTGTAATTTTTAATTTGTAAGTTATTCTAATTTTCAAAATTTACTCAGAAACTTCAGTTCTCGTAGAGTTGCTACAACTTTTTTTCTCTCTCTTTTTTTTTCTTTTTTTTTTTTTTGGTTTGGGTGGCAGGAGACGCGGATTGGGGTGAGGAGGATATTAGGGGTGTCAAAATGGAGTCTGACACAGAACGACGAAATTACAGCCCTAACATGCCGCGAAAATAAACAGGTATTGGGCTTAGAAGTTTAAACGGTGAGTTAATCCTCCATTGATTTAAGGTTGTGGTGGATTGGTTTTAGGAGACGTTTTGTTCTGTGTCTTTTTTGTTGGTGCCTCATGTGCCCGCTATATACCTGGCGCGTGGCTTACAGCCCCAGCAGTGACCCACCGTCTTTATTTAACGAGGAAGAAGAGCGATAATTTCGTCGTGGTCAATACAACATTCACTCCAAATTTTAAAATTCTATTTAAACTTTATTGTTTGTCTGTAGTCAATATTTTCTTTTATTTCAGTATGAATATGTTATAATAAATTATATATTCTAGTTTTATGTTTTATGAAAAAATTTATTTAATAGGATATTAAATAGGTAAAAATACTAATAAATAATATAAGTTTAAGTATCATAATGTGTGATGCTATTTGGTTTTGTATTATATCATTGTCTGTAAGGTGATGTCCTGTAAAGGTGCGTTCTGAATAATCCTCTCGTCTGTATGATATTAGACGGGTTATCACGGGTTGTTATAATGGGTCATCTGTACAGACCCACCTTAACCTGTTCTATACATAGCTTAGTAAATAATACATACGGTGTCGAGTTCGTATCTCAAATCATCTTATTCAGCCTACCCATACATCTGTTATCGCTGCTTCGGTCAGTCGCGTCCTTTTACATAGCGTAGACAAAATTTGACAACGACGCTATTATTTAAATGGTTCGTGTTCGTGTTGAACGCCTAATTGTGCCTCTATTCTCCGATTGTTCTATATGTAGCGGCGGTTCTGATATGCTCCCTGTCCTATCCTCCCAACCCCGTCTTTTAAACACCCCATGATGTATTGTATCATGAAAGATGTATGGTCCTTGACCTTAATGTCCTTTCGATTCGCCTGTTGTCTTTATATAATAGTATTGTATGAAATCCGATTTCGAGTGTGATAAGCTCCAAGCTCCTCCTATCGTCATAGTCGTCAGTTGTGTGTTCAAGCTAGTTCATTTTATGGGTCTGCACTCATATTTCTCTCTCGAATTTGTGTCCCTCTGTCCATTTATGTGTCCATTAATCGATACTTATGTTATTTCTTGTGTTAAAATCTTTTCGGTGAAATGCCTGCAGCGTGTATGGCTTTACGCCGTACTGACTAACGTTTTTTGAGCCGGATTCGGCAGTGAATCTATAGAGCTTCCATTTTTTGAGAGCACGGTTATAATCTTTAAAAGCCCATGGTTTAGAACCTGTCCACCGTCCCGCGGCCAACATCTGCCCTCGAATTCGTGCTTCCTCGACCTCATTTTCTTGACGGCCGCAGTCCAATGTGATGAAAGTTGACGCGCGCCCGTCAGTGGACTGAATACTATGCACGGTGAAATGGTCCGTCAGCCGTATATAGCAAGTACGGTTCAGCAGCTTTGGCTCCGATGCTCTACGAAACTGGCCAGTGCACTCTGCAAAAACTGCCCGCTAGCTTAACTTAGCCCTGCACGAAACGGCGCGCTGCGTGTGTGTTGTTTCTTGGTTCTTTTTACTTGCCAACGTCCGAGCTCGGAGCACGTGCTGCCGCACGCCCAAGCGCGTAACCCCCTCTCTTTTATTTTGTGTGGTGTTGGGTGAGGCCTCTCCTGGTTGGGGCTTTGTGGCCCTGCCCGGTGTCGGCCTGGGTTCCCTTTCTGGTAGAAGGCGCGGCTCCAGAACTGCATGCCTCTTTAACGCTCGTCTGACCCTCTGAGACTCTGAAGCCGCTCCAGATCCATTCACTGTCGCCCGCCTGCATTTAAGCTTGTGTTTGTTGCCTCGGACCCTGCCTCCGCGGCTCCCGCTATCTACCGCCGCGCGGCACCACCTCAGCCCCTCTTCGGTGCTGTCGTTTCACCGATGCATCCGGACAAACGAGGCCTCTCACACGTCATCACCGTGCATATACCCCGCGCTGCTGTCCGGGTGCCGGCGAGTTACTTCTACGCCTGACGCTATCTGCGCGAATCAGAACGCCTCTTTTTTTTTTTTTTTTTTTTTGGTTTGGTGGGGGTTGGGGGGAGGAGGATATTAGGGGTGTCAAAATGGGTCTGACACACGAACACGATTACCCTAACATGCGAAATAAACAGGTTAGGGTAGAAGTTAAACGGGTTACCCATTTTTGACACAAATATAAACGTGTTGTGTTGCAGGTTGCCACGCGGGTTAAGCAAGTGACCCGTTTATTTAAGAGGAAAGAGATAATTTTGGTGTCAATACAAATACTCCAATTAAAATCTATTTAAACTTTATTGTTGTAGTAATATTTTTTTTATTTCAGTCATGAATATTGAAAAATCTATGCATTTTATGTATGAAAAATTATTTTTAAATATGATTTGAATTAAATAGGTTAAAATTTAAAAATAATATAAGTAGGTTACATGGGTCATATACATGTCAACATGACTCACTTAACCTGTTTATGATATTAGACGGGTTACACGGGTTGTATATGGGTCAACGACCCACTTAACCTGTTTATAATATTAGTAGACAGGTTACACGTGTCATGTTCGTATCACCTACCTAATTTTCGTGTCGTGTTCATGTCGACAAATTTGAAACGATTATTAAATGGTTCGTGTTCGTGTTGACCCTAATTGTGTCACTCGCTAGGCGAATCCGTGTCGAACCCGACACGCGAACCCGTTTTAACACCCCTAGAGGATATTGTACAGGAAATTGTAGGTCCTTGACCTAGAGAAGTTCTCGATTTTCCTGTGCATAAAATGGCTACATTTGACCTAGGTTCTGGAATTGAACAGCTCTAAGCTGTTTTATAGTCGTCAGTTGTGTGTCAAGCTATACTAATAATTGGGTCTCTTATCATATTTCTTCTCAATTTTTTGTCCGCAAGGTCTTTTAATTACTTAGAATTATTCTTATATTTCTGTTAAAATCTTTGGTTGAAATGGCTGCAGCGGATGGTTTACGCACTGATAAGTTTTTTGAGCCGGATTCGGAGGGAAATTATAGAGCTCCATTTTTGAGAAGTATAATTAAAAGCCATGGTAGATGGGGAGTTTCACATGCTCGGCCCCCTACAGAATCAAGGCCTGGGCATGTTGCTATAATTGCTGGTTTCTATGAGGATCCTAGTGCTGTCACAAAAGGTGGTAACTTTATCATCCTGTACCATGTTAATGAATGAGTCATTATAAATCTTCAAATTCTTGTTCCTTTTTCATCAACTATATTGCTTTATACTGCATGATTGCTGATGTTGCACCCATCTGCTAAAGAGGTATTTTTGCATTTACAGGATGGAAAGCTAATCCAGTTGAATTTGATTCCGTTTTTAACCGAAGTAGGCACACATTTTCTTATGGAAGCCCAGATATTGTCCCAATATTCTGTGGTGCCTTGCCACACAGCACATGGAAGAGCTACCCTCATGAGTTTGAAGACTTTGCAACTGGTTTGTCATAACCTGTAATCACAAATTCTTTTCCGTAGAAATTTTATTTCATTTTTATTTATTCAAACATTAATAAACTGATGTAACTGAAATAAAGAAGAATTTTAGAAGGACTACTATAACCTATCTCAAGTCATATGATAATATCAAAGGAACCAAAAATTTTTATGTCCTAGTGCCCAGATTCTATATTTCTTACTTTTGTTCAATGCTTTATCAGTTGAATAGTGTTAATGCAGATGCTTCCTTTTTGGATGAGTGGTCTTTTGATCAATTTCAGAGCCTTCTGAATAGGTCCAATGAAGATCCAAAATTGAAGGAGTTACTTCTACAAGATAAGCTTGTTGTCTTTTTGCATCTACTTGGCTGTGATTCAAATGGTCATGCTCATCGGCCCTATTCATCTATCTATCTCAACAATGTCAAGGTTGTAGACCACGTAGCAGAACGCGTTTATGCTCTTCTTGAAGATTATTATAAGGACAATAGTACAGCATATATATTTACAGCTGATCATGGAATGAGTGATAAAGGTTTGTTTCAGAAAAAATGTGTATTTCTACCTGAGAATTCCATGTGTATCATCATCCATCAAATTTTTTTTTTTTGGGTAATGAGGACAGTATTCGGGAAATGAGAATGATAATTAAATCTAATTTGAGAATCAATATGACTGGTTGGCCTAATCTGAAATTCACCCAATTGACAACTTAACCACAAAGTATTTGTTCTACAGGCTTGAATATTGAGCATGATAAGAATGCATCTGTTTTCAATTCCTTAAAGTAGACTAGTTTACATGCTTTGCTTAAATCCATGTATGACCTTTGATAATGCTGTTCTCTAAGTTCCTCTGATTTATAGAGCCTGACATATGTTTCTACTCTTAGGTAGTCATGGAGACGGGCATCCTTCAAATACTGATACTCCTCTTGTTGTTTGGGGAGCAGGTGTCAAATATCCCAAGCCAACTTCGAGCGAAAACCACACTGACCATAGCTTTCGTTTTGTTGATGAGCATGCCCATGATATGCCAACACCTTTAGATTGGGGCCTGAATGGCATTGAAAGGGTGGATGTAAATCAAGCTGATATTGCACCACTAATGGTCATATTTACCCCTATTAAATTGTGTGTTTTGAGCCTAATTTTATGCTTTGAAGTCTCCTAAATAGTTGGTGGTAGTTGATCGTTCTTTTCCCCCCTTTTGCAGTCTACGCTTCTTGGTTTACCATGTCCTGTTAACTCAGTTGGAAATTTACCTCTTGGATATCTTGATATGGTTGAGGTTGGTATAGCTGACTTCTTTGTGATAAATAGCAATGAAGATTATCATCTGTACTTGCAGCTATAGTATTGTGCAGGGAAAGCATACTGATAAACATATGTCCTGTTAACTCAGTGGCAGCTGGAGGTTTTCTGGAGGGATATATATCTCTCTTAGTTGGGGGAGAAAAAGTTCATCCTATCATTGCACAAACATGATTATATAGAAAATAAATATTTGGATGATTATTAACTTAATTTTACTATGTAAGAGTTACAAATATACTAATAATTCCTTTATGGAATACAAGATAGGAAGGCCTTCCTATGAATCAATGTACATATTAATACCATTTCAGAACGCTATTGATACCATTAATACCTAGCCAAGAATAATCCTGACCATGATGGAAATAACATTTATATATGAAGTCCCCCTTTGTGTATGCCATGGCATGCAGGATCATTTTTGGAAAATTATTAAATTAATAAACAAGTCTTACTGAAAGAGAAACTGAATTTCCTATCCTTTATCCAGGCAGAAGAAGTTGAAGCCGTGCTAGCCAATACAAAGCAAATCCTCAACCAGTTTCTTCGCAAATCACGTATCCTTTTCTTTTATCAATTTTACATGTCATTTATATCACACACTTTTTCTTGCAACAGCATTATGTGTTCAATTCCTTTTTGAAAATCTAAATTTGTTGCTTGTTTGGATATACCAAGTTTGTACGATCTATTTGCTTATGATGGTGTTACTTTGAGTACTTTATTTTTCTTTAACTGAAATTGTTAGCTTTAATCAATATACTGTATCTACTTCCTTTTGTTCGCCAAAACCTGTTATTCATTTATCCACTGTATAATCTTATTAGAGTTTGTGTTGCCCATAATATCTTCAAAATGTGTCATCTTCGATGCTCGTGAAGGATGTGACTAAGCTTTCTGCTTTCATTGGTTTTCTTGACAAACTTAGAAATAAAACACTCAAACTCGTTATATTTCAAGCCTTTTAAACCACTGGCTGAATATTCCTATATGTTGGAACGCATTGAGGATCTGATATCTGCAAGAGACTATCAAACTGCAATGATCCTGACCCAAAAGCTCAGAAGCTTGGCACTGCAAGGCCTTCATTACTTTCAAACATATGATTGGCTGATGCTGATGACAGTTGTTACTCTTGGGTACCTTGGTTGGATGGTCTATCTCATTCTCCATGTGCTGCAATCTTATACTTCACTGGCAGAGAACATACTTAAGGAGCAAGCTGCCCCGTGGAAAAATAAAACTGGAAAAGTAATTTCTAAGTAAGCTTAACCTTTTATATAAGGTGTATTTATATCATTATGAAAAGGTTAAAGGATGAAGGGAAATAAAAAAGAAAAGAGAATCATGTGCAAATTTATCATGTTAAAGATAAGCATTTCTGGTTCCATAGCTTGCTTTTATGTTCAGTTTCATTTAATTTAGAACGTGATGCAGTGGATTTTGCAGTTAATGCTGTCTTTTAATTGATACTACAAAGTTGCCCAATCAAATGAAGTTTATATAGGTTACATTTTCTTTCCACATCCAGAATTTGATGACTCTTGAACTTTCCAAGACTCATGCTCCTAGTCACTTTAACTTCTGTTCCCTGTAGATTGTGCTAGCTGAAAAATATTATTTTTGATGGGCAAGCACTCAGCTGAGAAGCAATGTGAAAGTTATTCTTTTGTGACTAACATCTAGCAAGAGACAAGTACAAAATAATGTACAAAACTTCAGAGGAATGAGGAAATGCCATCAGTAGTTAAATAACTTTCAATTGCAAATTATGTGCCACTCATGATACTTTCTTTTCCTTTATCTTTATAACCATTTTCCTAACTGTAGATATTCTAAATTTTATATATTCTTTTTGCTTATTAAGTTCTCATTCCAATAAATATTATTGTCATATAACAGTATGATCTTCATCTTAGTTGTCACGTAGCAGTATGGTCTGCACCTTAAAATCTTCTAGTGATAAACAGGGAGAAAGCCAGAAATCTTTATCAAGGAGGGGGGCAAAAATAGTTCTCATGCAAAGCATCTGCACACTTGCAAACACAAACAACATGCATATATTAATATTAATTTTATGAACATGGAAAATAAAGTCATTGATGCGTGTGTTTGTGTGTGTGTGAAATATATTAATATTTGGGCTTTGAAAAAAAAAAAATTTCTTAATTTTTCATAATTATCTACAAAATTTTGCAATTCTTAAGATAAAATTTGTTGAATGGAACAAATTAAGTATTTATTTTGTAATAAAAATGATAAATTAATTATTGAAGCAATCCAATCCCTAATTTACATTTTTTTTATTTTGTTTTTCATTTTTAAATTTTTCACACAATAAAACTAACCGGTCAAATTAGTTAAGTGGGAGTTTAATTTTTAAAATTATAGTGCTACTTCTTCAATTTGGCAAAAAGTAAGGAGGCAAGTCTTTTTTTTTTAAATTGTAGATGTAGTACTTTGTAACTTTGCCAAAAGGTAAGGGGGGCACATTAAGTGATGATTGGTTTTTTACAAATTAAGTCATGTTGATCTTTGCTATGTGGTTGTTCTGTTTTTTGAAACTTGCATTGTGTATCTGATATAGCTTGTTGTCTTTGCCTCTTTCGCAGGTGTATGTGTTTGGATGCCTATTAATGGGAGTAGTTTCTATTATATTATATATGGAGCACTCTCCTCCTCTGTACCATGCATATGTTGCAATGACAATGTTTCTTTGGACCCAGATACTCGGTGAATATCGGTTTGTAAAGGCATTGTGGAAAAATTTAAGTGGGAGAAATTTTGATCATGCAATTAAACTTTTAGCCACCTGTGCTGTATCAATTTTAATCCTTGAATTCCTGGTATAGAAATTAAACATGCTACTGTTTTATTGTGATTTTAAGTGAGCTCATTTGTTGATTTATCATTATTAGTGATGCTCTTTCTATTTTGTGCAGGTGAATAGCTTCACAGAGAGGAAGCTCTACACTTGGTGCTTCTTAATTTCAGGAACCATAGCTTCTCTTTATCTTTTCAAATCAATTCCATGGAGATCTCCAATACCAATTTTTGTTTGCATTGCTTGTTGGTGTCTATCTGTTTTTACTTTGATGCCAGCGGAAATTCCAGACAACAATGAACTAGTGTAAGTCACTTTTGCACTCTTTTGATTTACTAGGTCAATATAATATAGAGGCATAATTTGATTAAAATACTGTGGAAGTGGGAGTTGTTGTTAGGATGATGTAAAATGCTTACTATCTGATCCCTTCCTCCTATCTCGATCACTACATTGATAATATGTGAATCTTAAACTACAAGTCCACCACACATTTGCCAATGGTCTTTGGTCCACTGATACTAGAGTTGTCCAGGGCTGAAAGGTTATAAATTCGAGCAGTAGTTGGGTTCTTATAGACGATAGCTTTATTGGCAAAAAAGTTTTGAGATCCTATACTGGCATTGATCCTGTGGTCCCCGAAACTCTGCTATGATAAGGTATCTTGATAACGTTAAGCTATCACTAAAAGAGAAAATCTTTAGTAAAACTACTTTTGCCGAATAATAAGGTTACTTTTCAGCTAAAGAAATTTTTTTGCGGAGCACAATCTGAATTAGCTGCCAAAATAGGTAATCCATACATCATGTTTTGTCAGTTGTGGTCTTCCTGAAATCTAATTCTGGAACTTTGAAGCTCTTAAGTAATCCAACAACAATGTTGGTTTGACTACTTTTGTCCATTAGTTGCTATTTCTTTCATGGCGATTGAACTTTTTAGATGACTGTTCAAAATTGTGTTTCTAGAATTGCAAGTGGAGCTATTATTGTCACAATTGGAGCAGCTGCTAGATGGCTAGATCAGCATTCTGAAGGGAATAAGTATTGGTCAAGTCTGTGTTGTCATGAAACAAAGAAACCCAGGCTCCCCATGCTTTTTCATGCACAGGTATGGCTTGTCTTTAACTTCTGTTAATTAGAAGATTTTATAGTTTCTCAACAAATCTAGAAGTAAATTCATTCTTTTGCATCAAAACTAGGCTCTGTTGGTTGGATTATCATCAATCATGGTGTCATTATCAACATCTCACAGAACAGAGAAGCAAGAGCTGCATGCATTACACCAGTTAATAAATTGGTCTCTGGCTGGTAATGCTTTAACACTTCCATCTTTCGCCCTTATAAATGCTATAAGTGGCTTTTGTTTGTGCAGTCTGGGTTAAATATCAGCTTATACATTACATAATGGCTGTTATGTATCGGATTTTCAGCCTACCAATATGATATTTCCCATTATGCAGGTTATTGGAAATCACATATACTTTTTAAATAAATTTTTGTAATAAATTATTTCTTTGACCATAAATTATCGAATAATTCATTTAATATCTATTTGAGTTTTGCTAAATTTGAAAAAATTATTCATGATAGTGGCAGCTGACAGTCCAATTCAATCTTTTTCCATTAAGTATTTTCTGATTCCGTCATTTAAAACCTCAGTACAAACCCAAAAATGTTGTGTGAAACTTTTGTCTTGTATCATTTTAACAAATACTATCATTCCTTCCTACAGCTGAATCTTAATAACAAATGTATGTAATGATATCATTATCTAAGAATTTTTTATTTTTATTGTTTATTTTTCACTTCCTTATAAAGACATATGGTGGTGCACTGGCTAACTTTTATTTTTCACTATCAATCAGATCCTATGTGCGGTCTTTATGTGTCAATTTGAGCTTGTAGATAGAAGCTTTCTGGCTTGGTGGGAAGACGGGTTTGTTAAGACACTCTTTATGAATACAGAAAGCATAAAAATTTAAATGGCAAGTAAAATCAAGGAAGAAAGAGGGGATGGTGGTATTGAAATTTTAAACTCAGAAAAACCTTAATGGAAGAGGGTTTATTAACTTACAAAATTTGCATATTTTAGAATATTTCTAGCATTCATTTAGCTTATGGTCTGCATTAGCTGGCAGCAAGAATAGACCAAATGGCTGCACCTCCTAACTTGTTTGTGGGTTTGATGAAAGAGTTGCACTTCTTTCCTTTGACATGCTAGGTTTTGGGTGTTGATCCCACAACAGCCTCCTGCCAGACCAAGCATGTTTTTTTGAAGAGTTCTTTAGTTTTACTTATCCATTTTCCTTTCTTTTAGCTTTTATAAATGCTATGATATCATACTTCACGAATTTAATTTGAATGGCATTTCATTTGTTGATTAACACTCACTTATAATTGTATTGTTATAGGTTTCTCAATGGTTCTCCCGCTTTTCTCAGAAAATGGCCTATTGTCACGACTCACTTCTATTTTTCTTGGTTTTGCACCAACATTCCTGCTTTTATCTATTGGGTATTTATGATTTCAAAGCTAATGCTTGTTTTACACTTTCATGGGTGTGCACAATGGTAAGATATGCTTATGCCTTTTGCCTCCCCTTTTTTTCTGCCTTGTGAAATACATGCAGATATGAAGCTGTCTTCTATGGTGCACTTGCTCTTGTACTTATGGCATGGATACTATTTGAGAACACACTTCTTCACTTAACGAAGGTGAAAAAATCATCATACATTAGAAACATGGATGAACATGCTACATTGGAAAATGATAGATGCTTGGAACTTTCTGATGTGAGAATTCCATTAATTTTTGTAAGTCTTAATACTTGCTTCTTATTTTTCTCTTTCTATTTCTTCACATTATTTGGTTAAACAAATAACTGCATGAATGCACTGACTTTCTTGTTGTGTTAGAATCTTCCATCGGCACAAGAAAGCAAATATTTACTTTGATACATCCTCGTCGTCTTCTTGATATTCTGTTCACTGACGAAATATGGATTTGATGACTCGTTTTTTCAGATGGTTTTGTTTAATGTTGCTTTCTTTGGGACGGGAAATTTTGCAAGTATTGCAAGCTTTGAGATATCATCTGTCTATCGGTTCATCACTGTCTTCAGTGTAAGTGAAGATGACACTTGAGAGATTCAAATGGTTTTAGTTTTGAGATCTGATAACTGATATTATCTGATTTGAATTGCAGCCTTTTCTGATGGCAGCCCTTCTTATTTTCAAGTTATTCATACCATTCATGCTTGTCATGTAAGTAATTTTTTATGCTACACCTGTTCACTGGATAATTTTGGAAACAAAAGGGGCCTCTTTGGAAAATCAATTTCTAATTTGTAATATCTTGTGTTAAAATAGCAAGGATTCAATGGCATAATCTTGGTAATTATTTAGTTTGGTTTGACCTCCAATGGGTATAGTACTAATTAGCAGGTTTTATAGAAATAGCTACACAGCTATGATATTGGTCCACATTTTCTTTTAGTTTTTATCAGTTAAAATCAACCTTTCAAGTTGGTCTTCTACTCCTTTCCTTTTCTTTTCTTCTGATAAATGATTTAATCTTCCATTCATTTAAAAGACATAAGACACAAAACGTCCAAAACTCATGAAAGAATGAAGGTTTACAAAGAGAAAGATTTAGACGCTCAAGGAGTTTGGAGCAACAGAAATATTATTGACAAGCATAAACTGTCAGTTGTAAGACAATATTTGATTAGAAGTGGTTTATCTAATGTTGAAGGCCCATTTTGACATTAAAGGCTTCATTTTATAGTAGCTCATCTGAGCTATATATCTTGCAACCTATTATGCAATCCCATAGTTCACTCGTTTCTTTTCCCTGAGAAAACTATGCTTTTACTGTATGTGGAAACTTTTCCTTTTGTCCCTCTCTCGTTACAATTGCTTAAGCTATTCAAGAAATTAAGTTTTCTCTATGAGGAATCTAAAGATAAAGTTGTAGGTATTGTTTGGCAGGAGACTGAAAAAATGGAAAATTGTTATATGGTTGATTGAATCATAGGAAAGTAATGGAAGGAGACAGAGTGTAATGGAATTATGCTTTAAAACTTGAAAAGCAAAATATGGATGGCATTTTAGAAAGGAAGAACAAAGTTTTCTCAAATGCCCTCTCAGTTATATTTAGCCAATCAATTTTGATTCTAGGCAACAAGATTTTGCATGTGAAAATCTTTCTATGAATAGATGTTGCAACTCAAAATTTATGCCCATTTCCAAGTGAAATAATTACAATTTTTCTTATTCAGTAAAATATGCTCTATGGTTTTGTTGACTGAAGCATATTGATTGCCTTTATTATTATTTTGTCTTCATTCCCGTAATATCTCTGTCACTCTGAGCATCCAATTAACCACCTGCGGCTGATGAGCTACTTGCTAATAGAATGTTTTGCTCTTTGGAGTTTTTGAAATCTGAAAATTTGGTTGATTTCCTTTCAAATGTACCTAACCACTAAGGTAAGGTGTGGCATTTTCAGGTGGGAAACAGTCTTTTTAATTTGTTTGTGCAGCCTAACTTTGCATTTGGATAAGTTTCTAATATGGAGTTGTTTGCTTATGTGTGCATCGTACGTATATACACACTACTGTTTTTGGTTGAGATGACAAATGTCAATTGGTGCACAATGCAGATGTGTTTTCAGTGCAATAACCAAACTTCTTCGAGTTCCACGGTTGGGATGTTATTTTCTGGTTATATTATTTTCAGACGTGATGACTATTCACTTCTTCTTCCTGGTATGATTTCTGCTCACTCTGGCAGTCTTTTTGATCTAATTATTTCTAGTCTGGTTGATTTGCATCATACTTGTCAAGTTACTTGGCAGCAACTTGTTTAAAGTACATGAACTATATGTTATGTATGCATATACTTATGGATGGGTGTCTCGCTTGTTGGGATGGGGACATATTCATGTTAACAAGGACTTAGTTCCTCAACAATTTAATCTCTGACTACATGATTTTGCTTTTCGACTGTTCAACTATATATGCATACCTGAGCTTGATTTCAAGCTGCATGTTATTTGCATACTCAGAAAGTGAAACTCCAGATTTTTATTATTTTAGGCTATATGTCGATCGCCAAGCATTGCGCTCCAAACTTTTGCCGATAAACACTTCACTTAAACTTTCTTTGCTGTCAAGACTTTGAGAAGAGAGTCAACTAAAATCATTCTTATTGATTTAGAGAATATGAAAACACCATTACCATTTTTTCATTCTTGAAAACTTACTGACTTTGTATTCCTGATGACAGGTTCGAAACACGGGAAGCTGGATGGAAATCGGTAACAGCATCAGCCATTTTGGAATTATGAGTGCTCAAGTTGTATTTGTGCTATTACTTTTTGCCCTCACAAATGTATACACAAAAGACATCCAAATTAGGTCAGACAGCTCATCCTCTAGGAAAGCAGTGTAAGTCACCTTGAAATTATAAATTTTGGACATCACAATTGACGATAGGTGACCTTTTCCATTCTTACAGTAAAGATTAAGAGCTGCAAGCTGCATAACAATCGATTCTTTTTAACCCCTACTTCCTGTGTCATTATTGTCTCTCTCTCTCTCTCTCTCTCTCTCTCTCTCTCTCTCTCTCTCTTCCTCTTCTTCCTCTCTCTCTGCTCTCTAATACTATATATATATATAATATATATAAAATTTTTTTCCCAGGGTTACGATATATATATATATATATATATGTAAAATTTTTTTCCAGGGTTACGAAATGTGGAAATTGGTTCATAATACTTGTCATATTTGAGAAAGTAGTTTATTCTAAAATACTTGTCAAATTTATAGTTTCAAGGAGTAATAATTTTTTTTTTTTTTCTCTTTGTATATGACCAATAATTATTATTTTATCTTAATGGTTTTCATAGAGAATTAGTATTAAATTAAGAGTAATATAGTGAATTTAATCGATAATTTGTAATTTAAACAAATTTTATAGTTTACTTAAAAAATTTGAAATTCCAAATATAATAAGTATTATGAAATAGAGGTAGTAGTTACTTATTTTTTGTATTTATTGGAATATTGAGCTGCAGTTAATTCTTGCATTAAGCATCTGTTGGGCAACTATCATGTTAAAATACTATTTATTTTTGAAGAGGACTTAATTTAGTTTTTAGAGTTAGAAGAAATGAATGTCGGAACTATTAGTTATTAAAATAGCTAATAACTATAAAAATAACTAATTTCGCCGAATTAATTAGTTCTAGATAAACCAAAACGTTATTAACTTATAATCATGACTTGCTTGATCAAAAAATGTGGAAAGCAATGCAAGTCTGGCAACATTGTTGAGAAAAGAACTAAACGACAATTAATTACTAGTCAATGAACAGTCAACAATAAGAGAAAATAACTAAATGACAATTAATTACTAATCACTGAACAATCAACATTGTTCAGAAACATCCCAGAAATATCCACGGTGGTCAAGGTCTAGGTCTTCTGTTCTTCTACCATGCACTCACGAGGAAGCAGCTTCTTCTTGTACCAATTTACCCATACAACTTTCCTTTAAAGAAAAAAAAAGAAAAAAAATTCAAACACAAAACCCAACTTTATAATAAATTTTAATCTAATTTCTTAATATTTTCTCTCTCTGATTATGAGCATTCACAATATTATTTGGAAATTAAATTTCGCCAAAGTTACTTTTGCATTCTTACTCTTTAGTCCTTTTTAAAGTAACTCCTTTAATTACTAAAATATTATGAATAGGCTTAATATGTTAATTCAAACATGTCACACATAAATGAGGAAAAATTCATTGTTGGTTACTCATACATGAATTTATAACTTTCACAAGCAAAAAATCTATTCCCAAATGCATAAATTCATATCTAAATTTGTAATTTTAAATCTTATGTCACCCTAAATTTTATTGATAATCTATTGTATATTTAAACAGGTAAATTTTGATAATATTACACATATTTTCATACTAATAATAATATTAATAATTTTTAGAATTTTTTATTTTTATAAGAATTTTTTATTTCTATATATAAATATTTATTTGATTACTTAGTTAGCATAACTATAGGACACAAATAAATTTCACATTTTTAATTTTAATTGATAATTTTTCAAATTAATTGGTTTAATTTCGATATTATAATTTATTTAAATTTGAAGTGTATGAACGGAAATTTCCCACGTTACAGTCTATATATATATATAATATATATATATATATATATATCATATATCATATATATATATATAATGGACCTGCACGTTGACTTAGTCTTCCTATAAATATACTTCTGCAGTTTGGAATATGCATTTCAATTCTCGTTGTCAAGCAGACTCAACCAAAAGAAATGAAAACCAAACTTTCGGTCGTATTGTACAACGTTCTCATTCTTTACTTGTTTTAAGGCAATAATTATTCTTTGCATTCTTTAACCACAATTACCAGAAAGACAGAATTATCACTTTATTACTTCTAATTTATATATATTGACCTGCACGTTGACTTAGTCTCCTATAAATTACTGCTGAGTTTGGAAATGCATTTCAATCTCGTTGTCAAGCAGACCTCAACCAAAGAAATGAACCAACTTTCGTCGTATGTACAACGTTCTCATCTTTACTTGTTTTAAGCAATAATTATTCTTTGCTTCTTTTAACCAACAATTACAGAAAGACAAGAATTCATCACTTTATTACTTCTTAAAGTTTAAGTTCTTTTTCTTTTTTTTCTTGTGTTGTTGTTTGCAGATTTACCGGTGGATTAGAACTGGGAAATTTAGTGGTTGGTTCTAATTTACTCTGTTTTTCGTGGGCTGCAATCTCTGCTCTTCAAGCTGAACTGAACCAGTATCAAGATCAGCAGTCTTTATCTCTGAGATGCAGAGTTTATAAACGAGCAAATTATACCATTGTTGCTTTGATAACTTCACCTTCTTGTACGATTCATCATCTTCACCAGCTAGGGGGAGATTTGGTTTCATCTGAAACTCTTAAGGAAAATAACTTTACTCTGTTTGAATTTTTATGTTCTAAAGGAAACCCATCATTCTCAATTCATAGAGCAGCAATTACCCTCTTTTACCAATATTTAAGTGATCTCTCTCAACTGAAAGATCAGGTACCTTCTGTTTTTATACTCGCTAAGTTTGTTTAATTGGTCAAGCTCATTCTTAATAAATATCAATGTTTTAAATATTATTTGAAGTTTAAGAGGAGGCTGATTAGAGATTTTTGATTGTGTGTGTGCGTGTATTATGTAAATTAGTTGGAAGATTGATTACTGACTTGTTCTCATTTTATTTTCTTTTCTCGAGTGAATGATATGTTAGTTGCTCTTTCTCTAGAAACATCAAATGACTGAATACAAAACCGGTTAATTAGAGATTTTTGGTACATGGGTTTTTTTGAATGAATTGCTATCAAGAAAAACACCATATTAGAAATGTTAATTCAGTCCTTAAAATTTGTTTTTTGGGGTAAATTTCACTCATTTTAATCATAGAAGCTTCAAGATAGCTAAAAACAAAACACTTCCAAACTACTTCTCCAGCAACATTAAAAATTGAGTTTTTCTAAAAGATCAAATTCAACTCCAATTCCAAAGAGACTATATATGTTGTCTTAGTTGAAAGATTGGTCAATGACTTGTTCTCATTTAGTTGTTCTTTTCTTGTGTTTATGATTTGTTAGTTAGTCGATTCAACCACTGGTCAATTATTAACAGACACTCCATTGATTATTACTGGAAACTCTTTGGGTGGATCAATAGCTTCTTTGTTTAACTTATGGCTGCTAGAAAGTATCGATCGATCTTCCACCAGGCGTCCTCTATGCGTCACATTTGGTTCACCTTTGATTGGCAACTTAGGCCTTCAAGGAGCCATTTTAGAGCGACCTACATGGAATTCTTGCTTCTTTAATGTGGCTGCCAATCAAGACCCAGTTCCAAGCCTATTTGTCCCATCAATCTCTCCTCAACCTTTAGCCTCAACTCCACAAACTGTTCTTTATAGGCCTTTTGGTCCATTTCTCTTATGTTCTGAATCAGGATGTACTTGTGTTGATGACCCTGAAGTAGTTTCTCATTTATTAGAAGTAATGGGTTTGGAAAGTAGAAGAAGTCAAGTTTCTGCTGAATATGGAGCATTAGTGGAGAATCTAAAAGAAAGATTTATCTTGAGAGGAAGTTCATTGCTTGGTATATCGGGCATGGATGCAGGCATATTTCTACAGCTAGAAGCAATTGGAGATAAAAGGATCCAGGTAACTGAATCTTGCCCTAATAAGCTATGCTTTTTACATATTTTGTGAATAGAACCGAAGAATGACTTTAACACACTATTAACTTACCAGAAGTTTCTTACTTACTGTTAAAGGAGCGCATATAGAAATGATATTTATGACTTTCTGCTAATGCCAAAGGGCTTGAGAATTTCTGCTCAAGTAACAATCTGATGTCTGTTTTCCCGCCTATTTCTGCTATATGCTTTTGGATTTTCAGAAAGCTAGAATTCAATCCAACTTTTTTTTCTCATCTTCTTAGCAGCAACAGCAGCACGACATGGACATTGCTGACTTGATTAAAAAATTGAAACATAGGGAAAGAATTTGTGTTTTAACTAAAAGGAAAGGCTTGAATCGGAGCAGAAAACTAAATGATATAAAGATAAAAATGGCCTACCTAGAATGGTACAAGAAGAGTTGCAACACTATCCCAAAAAAAAACAAGAAGAGTTTCAAGGCTGACTTAATAGGTTACTATGATAGTTATAGAGACCTTCTTCAGTGTCATGACAAAAAGGTTACTATGTATAAGAAATTTCTTACAGCATATTGGGAAGACATGGTGGAAGAAGCCGAGAAAAAGCCTCACAAAGAAGGATCATTCTTACTTCTGACCTGGCTTTTTGCCGGAACAAATTATAGAAGAATGGTTGAACCTCTTGATATAGCAGAGTACTATAGAGCTGGCAAAAGAAACTACGAGAGTCAAGGAAGGTCTAAACATTACATTCTATTGGAGAAGTGGGCAAAAGAGGGTGCAGAGAAACCTGCAAGTGCTCCAACGAACAAAAAGAAACAAAATGTGGCTGGTATATTGACAGAGGATTCTTGCTTCTGGGCAAAGGTGGAGGAAGCTCTTATTTCAAGTGAATTGTTGAAAGATGCAACATCCAGTGTAATAGACAAACAGTCATCAAGAGAGTACCTAATTAACTTTGAGGCTTATCTAATGGAACAAATCAAGAACTATGCAGTATCTCCAGAGATTTTCTTGCAAAAAAGCACTTTTATGAAATGGTGGAGTGGGTTTCAGGAAATTGCCTCTAATGCTTTACTCATTGACTTTATGAAGAATTGCAGATATGTCCAATATGAGAAAGGATGCTTTTAGCTCTCACGCTGAACCTAGAGTCCTAGATTGTACTTGGTTGATCAAAATAAATATGGGTGTTTAATCTCAGAATTGAGTGATATGAAATGTCTATGTGATGATCTCTCTTTCCTTTCCTCTTTATCTATTCAATCTGTTTTTTAAATTTTATACCTTTACCATTTAATTTTTTGGCAACCATCATTCAAAGAGATGAAGTTTTAGGAGAGTTTGAAATAGTGAAGCTTAATTGTTCTAGGCTTCTAGCAATAGTGAAGCATTGATCGCTTCGCTTGTGCAGCTGCTAAACATAATTCATTTCCCATCTCCACAGAGTCGGTAACAAGTTGCTATGTGAAGTTAAAAATTTTAATAATCCTTCCTCTTGTTGAAGAAATGGTTCCAATGAGTTATCTTGTTCAAGAAAGGTGAAATCAAGGATTCGTCTATGATTGGATATTACAGGCTTTTTATCATGTTGTGACGTGGTTTGTACTTGTGTTTTTAAAGATTCTTGCTAGGAAGATCAAGTAGTTTTTGTGTCCTTTCACTTTACTGTTAGTGATCAAACAGCTTCTGTAAAAAGAGTAGAGCAGAAAATGTTTGTACTGTTACAGGGTCAAGTTCTGCAGATGCATTATCAAGAAACTCAAAGGTGAATTCATGATAAAAGCCTAAGATTCAGTTGCTTAGGATTCTTCAAGATTTTGGAAACTAATGGTATTTGATATAATGAAATTTGCAAACAAGAATTAACAGAATTTGAGAGAGTTTACGGAATAAATGAGTACTTTTTTTAAAAAAAATTTGTTAGAGCCTTTTATCTGCAGAAATAATACTGCGGGCTATACAATATATATAACGGACAACCATTACTTGACTGAACATAATAAAACTACTACCTCTCACTCCTAAAGTAAATAAAAAAATCAATCAAACCATTACCTAATTAGCATAATAAATGAGTACTTCCACTGAGCATTAATTATTTTTTAAATGGTCAAGTATCAGTCTGTCAATACTCAGTAATATTACCATCAGTATCCATATTTTACTTTGGTATATTGGAAGAAACCCGTTGAAAGAAATGGGAGAGTTTAGCTGTTCACCTACTACTCTGTGAAACTGAAACAAGTGCTCAATGACATGGCAATAGTTCAATTTATCTCTCAATTAGGTTATTTTAAATTTGTCCATATTCAATTCCTCAAACAAAAAATAGTGCACCACACCTGGAAACGAAAATCAGGCCTCAACTAAGACAAATAGTTCTCGCAATTAAAGGTCTCTCAATAGATTTAAATTTGTCCTTATAGTTCAATTCCTTTCTAACAAAAAAAAAAAAATAAAAAAATAATTGTCCATTATATAAATATATATATTATAAATATTTAATAAATAATAATTTTTTCATTTTTGTAATTTGCTGTATGGAACTTTTTCCATGTAATCGTTAAGATGTATTTTGTCCTTTTTAATCCTATTAAAATTGAATTTCAATACAATATTGGAGTGGTAATTTGGCTGGATTGATTGGGTTTTGGTTGTCGTTTTGCTTCTTTATATTTATTTTATATATTTTTTATAAATAGTATGAGAAATAACTTCTTCAAATAAATCACTCTCTATTCCATTGTTGAGATCCTCTTTGTGCAAATATATTAATAATCACTCTCTATTCCATTGTTGAGATCCTCTGTGCAACACACTTCCTATTCTACCTGCACTACAACTATCATCTCCTTCACTTTTCTCTCTTAATTTTTCTTCCGAAAATATTTTCATTAACTAACTAAAACATGGACTCTACATATTTACAAGTCTAAGAAAAAGCTCAATTTCCAATTAATTAATTAATCAAAGCCCATAAAAATAATAACAAGCCCAATTTTCAATTAATTAGTCAAAGCCCATAAAAATCATTTTATGGGTTTAACACCAAATTTTAGTATTTTGAAAGTTACTATAAACGTGGAATACATTGTTTAACTCTCGAATTTTGATAAAAAAATATTGAGACACTTTAAATTTTAAAATCGACCTTCTGAAATTCACATTGTCACCTTTTATAATAATTTTTACACCACTTTCCACTAGTAACAATAATTTTAAAATTTTTTACTTTTATATGCAAAATATTAATTTGATCTTTGATTTATATATCTCTTGAAATAATAATTTTTATATTTTTAACTATATTAAGCATGTTAATCAATATAATTTTATAAAATTAAAGTGTATAATAAATATAATTCAATAAGCTAAAATATTTAACATGTCAAAATAAAATTTAAAAGTATGATAAAACTTTTCATAACAAGTGTAGAATGTATTGAGCTAGATTTAAAGACAGGGAATCCACAAATAATTTGAATTAAGTAAAAATATGGACACCAAACTATTGAAGATTTGCAAAAGAATAAAATATTGCATAAAATATGTTAGTCAGTATCCTGTTTCAAAATTTAAATCGTTTAATGTTTTTACATAAAAATCGATAAAGCAATTATTCTTTAAATTACAATAAAATCAATAGTAATTAGATCAAATTACTTTTTATTTCAAAATTAATATTATATCTAATATAAATAAAGATAAAATTGAAAAAAAAAATATTATTAATTAAAATATTTAAAATTACTTATATTTTAAGATAAAAAAAAAAGAATATTTTTGTCAAAGAGACAGAGAACTAGAAAGGATAGACATCAATCATCCACAGAAGAAGCTACGAAAATTATGATATGAGCTCACAAATCACAACTAAGAAACAGGCAAATGTGGACCATAGTTTGGCAAAATTGTAGCTGTGAATAAGCTGTAACCAAAATGAGCTGTTTAAGTTAAATTTTGGCTATAAAGTATAAACTAACCACATGCTTTTTTTCAAAAGGTGGGACCACTCTTGCACATGCAAATGTCCACCTCATTGATCATCTTTTTTTTTCTTTGATTTTCCCAATGCCTTCGTTTTTTTCCTATAGGGATTTTCCTTTTTCACCTTCTGCTGCTGCTACGGTACAAGCAGTAGAAGTAGAAGACAATATCTTTTTGTTTCAGTAATAGTTTATATAAACAGGACAAGGGCAATGAATTTTGAAAGGACACTTTTTATGAGCTCCAAATCAAGGGTATGATTGAACAAGTCAAGTCAATTTTGTGCTCCATGTGTGAGTTAAGAGTGAGCATTTGCATTGAGTTAAACCGAACCGGAAAAACTAAATTTCTAAAATAATAATCAAAAAAAGAATAAGTATATTTTTAATGGTGGTTCAACAAAAACCACAGAGCATTCGGCTACTTTATGGTATGGAAAAGGAACCTGACCTAACAAAAGATAATTTGGTTTTTTTTTTTTTATTATTAAAAATGAACCAAATTAATTAAAGGTTTGAGATAATTTATATCATTTGACTCTATGACGTCATTCTCGCTCGAGGGCGCCCTTGAGAAAAATCCGTCACCAATTCAACCAAAAAGTAAAGTTCAAAGAGAATAATGGTGAGGATATTGTTGTTAGCAGTGGGGATCAAGGTCCACCACCTAAATTATCCTTTAAGGATTGTCTGTTAATGGAACCTAGCGTGAGTGTGGAATCTAGGGCAAGCTTAAACCCGCACTTTGAGAATACTGAAAGTGTAACATCCCTTCCCAGTCCACCCGTTAACTCAAATGAACCGAGCCAAGACGCTACAATCTGGTTGACCCTATGTCCTTTCATGCTAATATCATTCTGTGTGCTGAATTCGGCCCGACTTGACTCGACTCTATGCAACGACTCAATTCAGTAGGATGTCACAGAATGTGATAGTGACGCGGACAAGGACATGGCGAATGGGGATGATACTTCGAGTATTAATAGTCAGGAGGAGGAAGGTAGAGCTAGCCATGATGATGTTCCTAACGATAGCCAGAACACTAGTTGGAGTGTGGAGGATATTAGGGTGGATAGCTTAGGGCCCTTTCTACAGATTACCCTTTCGGATGAGGCTAGAGATCTTATTTGTAGGACTTGGCGGAATGCTGTCGTTGTCAAATTGTTAGGATGAAATATAGGCTATAAGGGTTTCTACACAATGATTCAAGCTTTGTGGAAACCTTTTAGTGGATATAAAGTTATTGACCTAACTAATAACTTTTTCTTGCTCAACTTTGACAGACCTTCGGATCTTTATATGTCCTCCTAAATGGGCCGTGGTTGATTTATGGCCATTATTTGATTGTACAACCTTGGAGTCCGTAGTTCTGCACCACAGATGACACGCTTTCGTCAATGGTGGCTTTGGGTTCGTTTTCCTGACATGCCATTACACTATTATAACAAAAGGGTCCTAAGAACTATAGTTGGATGTGTGGGGAAACTTATGCATATATACTACAATACAGAGGAGTTAAAAAGAGGTAAATTTGATAGAGTGGCTGTGGAGATTGATTTGAAAAAGCCATTAGTATCCAAATTTGAAATTGATGGGCATACTCAAAAGATAGAATACAAATATTTGCAGAATATTTATTTCACGTGTGGTTGCTTTGGTCACACAAGGGACAAATGTCCTAAGATTTTAACTACAGCTCCAATGGAGGATGGTAGTAATGCATGCATGCAACCAGTACCTCCTGTTGCAGGTCATAGGGCTGATAGTGAATTATTTGGGGAATGGATGGTGGCTCCAGCCAAGCGTTGGGGAAGAGCTTCCAACAAGGAAAGTGCAAGGCGATTGGATCCTATCATTGCAGTGCAGAATAAGGACGATCTTGGGTTTCGCTTTTAGATTTTGGCTAACCTTCCGCACGAGGATAAAGATGTGCAAGATATGGAAGATATAAGGATTCCTAGTGCTATCAGTCATGGTAGCAGGCGGGATTCTAGTCCTACTGTCTCTAGAGTGATGGACTCTCAATTGTCTCTGGATTAGACCAATCGTGTAAGGGCCAAGCCCATCAAGGTACCCCGACTAGACATAAATAAGAGAAAGGAGAAAGAACATGGGGGGATAGCCTAATGGTTTGATGTGCAAGCCACTATAGTCCTGAAGCCTACATTTGACAATGATCCCATTTAGAATTCTAATTGGATTAATGTTCCTATTTCTTTAAATGAGAATCATACTGCTATAGCCATCAAGGATTCCTTGGCCTATAGTTTACCAGCTATGGCTAAGGGGA